CGTCAAGCAGCAAATGCTGTGCAGGGGAGAAGCAAAATAGCCACCCCAGCCATTCTCTTCTTGGAGGGCAGCCCTGTAGGTATACTATTCAGCCTGTTTTCCCCTCCTAAAGTAGCATGTTGCCTCAGGTGTACCGTTATTGTTTGCGCCTCCTCCTATCAATGCGGCATTGCCTTGTTGTGTTAAAGGGATGTTCCAACTTACAACAGAGTCTCAAAATTGCTCAGTTAAAGGGTTTGAATTCCCCCCATTCTCAACATCTGAAGTTTATGCTCTTGAGACAGCTTTGGACAGAGTGCTTTGTGCATTGTCTCCACATCCTGCAGCTGAGATGCAAACCTGGGAATAGGCTATTCAGCCCATTGACAAAGAACCAAACTGACTAAGTGCCTTCCAAGGATTCTGGACCATCACATTACATCATCTGCTATCGTCCTTCCAATCTACCATGTGAAGGTGCATCCAGCATCACTTTTTGTAGGGCTTTAACATCATCCACAGACTTCATACTAAGTGCAAGTGCCTTTGAAATATCCTGTATTTTATTTGATAGGCCCTTAATTTATTCCCTTAAATGCTTAATTGCATTTAAGTTAAACCTTGTGTCAATTGCTTCGGAATATCATTAGGAGAGCCCCAGCCCTCTAAAATGATGCACATCATTTTCTGGGTCATTAGCAGACTGCCCCACAAAAATTAGGCCATTAACTGTCTGGGATTCCCATACACTACAAGGTGCTTTTAATCCTTTTTTCTTTGGGACTGTGGTCCTTGATTGCATAACACACCTGACCCCACAATTAGAAGACTTTCATGTTTTCATAAAGACATTTTTGCTCAATATGTCGACAACTCGAGTGTGGGCTCCTAGGCTAACCCATCATCTTAAAGCAGTGATGTCACCACCCCATTTATCAAGTCCATGATCCATGAAAATAATCATTAGCTGAAGTTTCTCCAATCCCTGAAGAACTTTCTTGACAGCAAGACTGGGGGAAGAAACAGCTTTGCTGTGCCAAGCATAAACTTGGAAGACCAATTGCCATGCCAAGGATAAACTTGCTCAGTTTTAGCACACGCTGGAACAGAAAAAAAGGGAGAGGGAAGCAGCAGCCCCTTCCAGACCTGGATGCACTTTGGAAGTTTCTCAATGATCACAATGAGGATTAAAGGACAGCATTAGCAAAGTTGTCGGAGACACTGCTGTAAGAAACTGCAGCCACAGCTGTCCTTTCCAGACACTTCCCATCAGCTCTTCAAACCCCTGGCTCTTATCTTCAAGAAGCAGGTGGTCACAGATAAAAGTTAAAGTGATCACTTTAAGCTCTGATTCTGAAGGACTTTAAAGCTTAGTGCTCAGCAGCAGCAGAGGCAGAAACAGGTTAAAGACCAAACTAGAGGTAAGGATGTGATTGCAGAATGATGTCACTCCCCCCACCAATCTTCAGATTATGGCACAAGGTGAAAAATTTGATAGGAAATCATTATATCTGTGATTGTTTTAAATCCGCATAATGCAAGCATAGCATTCCACAAAAGACATATAATCCAGCATATTAAGAGCGTTGGCACATATTTTAAAAATGTGTGGATAATAGCTAGTGAAATCTCTAGAGCCGAGTAGTGTTCAGTGGCCAGCAAGGGAGAAGGCAATGCCTCATACAACTCTTACCAACTTCCCAAAGGAGAGGCAAATTGTAAACAGCCAGGACCAGCCCACCCTCCCTGCAGCAGCTTAGCTTCTTCATCTGCCTCCCTTATTCAGCATCCTCTTTTGGTGGCAAGGCAGAAATGTCTCCATAACTGTGATTGACATGGTCAATATACATAGATTTCTCAGTTACGCTGTGTGTAATGGACGTAGCAACCATTATTGTTGTCTATACTGAAGAGGGCTTTAGTGCTTGAATCCTGCTTGCTGGTTTTCCACAGGCATCTGGTTGGCTACTGTGAGAACAGGATGCTGGACTAGAAGAGCCATTGGCCTGGGTTCTTCTTTGTTCTTACCTCCAGAACCCAGGAGGAAGGGGAGAAAAGTTATGATGTTGGGCTACATCTCCCCACATCTGTGATTAGTGGCCAAGCTGGCTGGGGTTGATGGAAGCTGGAATTCAGCATCTAGAAGGCCACAGGTTCCTCATCTGTACTTTAGGTATTTAACAAACAACAGAGACGCGGACGATACCACAATTCTCTCTCATACCCAGGTCGGCCTTAGAAGATTCCTGAACTCGTTCTCTTTCTTTTGCCAGATCAACTCCCTGAGAATTAATTACCAAAAATCTAAAATTATGATTTCCCCCCCTAAAAGTCGTCAAATCATCAAATGGAGACTAGAAAATCATCCCATTGACCAGGTAAAATCTTTCAAATACTTAGGGATATTTTACCAGCCAAATTTAAACTGGACAACACACAGTCGTCAAATGATTATTCAAGCAGAATGCACTACATCAGCGATTCTCCATTTTTTTCTTCCTCAAAGGCAACCAGATGGTCCCTGCTGCAATAAATATATTTAATGCCAAGGTCCTTTATAATATATAATAATTAATTTTTCTCAGCTATTGTACAGTATTCCCATTTGGATACAAGCATTCAATAGAGAAGTTGAACAAATCCAAGCGACCCTTCTTCATAAGATCCTTGGTGCCCCTAAATGTGTAAGTTATTTAACCTTATGTGCTGAAACCGGCCAAAATCTGATGGAAACCAAAGCATGGCTCTCTACAATCAAGGCTTGGCTGAAAGTCCACTTTAGAACAACATCTAACTCCTTCTTAACCTCTATGCTTGAAGACCGCATCTAATCTCATGGTACAGAGCAAATCAAGACAAAATCCTTAGTTTGGGCATTGTTCTCGAGAGCCTTGAAGCATGTGACGAAAATCACATTCCAATTAATCAAGCAGCTTCTGTGCGACCACAAAAGACAGCGCTTGTTACCTCACACTCTGAGATCTTGTTCTCTGGAGGCCTTAGGTATTATAACACCCTATGGAACCTGTGCCAGATACTTAAAGGATTTACTACTCCCTTCCCATCGAAGAGCCTTTATGCTTGTGAGATTAAATGCTTTCCCTTCTACCGTGACTAAAGGTAGATTCTCACACACTCCATATCAAGCCCGTTTGTGTCCCTGCAACCAAGAAGTACCAGACTCAATGGACCACATTCTCTTAGATTGCCCTTTACATAGCAGTACCTTGCTAACTGATGCTGAGTAAAATGTTGGACCTCCAGCCCACAACTGGAAATCAAATGAGGTTTCTCCTGGCAGATCGGGACAAAGATACCACTGCTCTAGTAGCTTCCTTTTTAGCCACAATTTTACCCGAAATGGTTCCTAACGAACCATCCCTTCGGGAAATAGACAGGGAGTGGCAGAATATCTAAGTGCACATGACCACAGTGTGACCCTATAACCCTTGTCCTTTTAATTATCTCAGTGATTTGAAACGTTTTATATTGTGATGCCAATAAAGGTATTTGATTTGAAACAACGGAGACAAATACAATTGCAGATTCCCCTCATTTTCTCTCCAAGTTCAAATGTTTGAAAGCTCTTCCCTTTTAAAAAATCAACATTAGCTCAGCTGTGCCCCTAGGGCCATGTGGTGACAGAACAGAAGGAAAAGCCTTCCAAGAATATCTTATCCAGCAGCTTTTTGAAATGGTTATGAACAAAACGTCACTGTGAAGAGATGGCCAGAAACATTATAACACTGTGCACTATCGTATTATTTACTTATTTATTTATTTATTTATACCCCACATTCCCCAACAACAGGAATTTAAGGTAGCTTACAGATAAAATAAGAGCAGCAAAAAACATAGAAAAAAAATCTGATGTCTCACTATTATAGATAATAACCTTATGACTTTTTGATAAATCTTCTTTGGGTGAGACTGTGAGAACCACTTCATCAGCATAAAGAATTATCTTAGTATCTAAAGAGCCATGTTAGATCACATTGATGTGTACGTTTTCTCTTACTGTTATAGCTGAAGCTTCAATCACAATGGCAAAGAGCACGGGGGATAAAGGACATCCCTGACTAGCTCCTCTAGAGAGATTGCATGTTTCTGACATACCTCCATTTCCCATTACTGGAGCTCCAAAAGTCAAGTCCATTATTTAATTCTTTAAATAATATTGGAATGCCTTTTCTATCTCATGGTATGGGAGAATATCTACTGTAAAGATGAGTACCCAGAATTCATTTATACGCCTAAACATTTCATTAGTTGCCCCATCTGAAATACTGTCAAAATGGGAGCAATTGATGAAGCATCTCAAATGGAACCAAACCCCACCTAAGGGAGCTGCCAAACTCCAAAAACAAACAAACAAACAAACAAACAAACAAACAAACAAACAAACAAACAAACAAACAAACAAAAAACAGCGGAGGTATGGCAGTACCTAGCATAAAGAATTATTGTTACGCAACAAAATTGGCTTTGCTGAAATAATTGTTTGAGGAAGATCCAGTACTGGAGGTAGAAGAATTAATAATAAAGAAAAAGCTTGCAAGGACAGTGACGTCACCAAGGCGAGACGGTGTTTCGATCTGCTCCTCCTTCTTTCCCCATAAGCAAAAATAGGTTTGCCTTGCTTGCGGCAAAACGAAGTCTTGCTCAAACTTCTAATAGCCCCAAGCAGGCTATGAGCTGCAGGACCAGAAAATCATGCCCTCTAGACAACTGGTTTTTACCTCTGTCTCAGATCATCAGAGAATCACAAGCCCATTTCCAAAATGGTCACCAGGGCTCAATACAGTGAAGGGGAAAAAACAGCTCAGGCAGACCAGAGGCTCCATTTAACACAGCAGGTAACGTTGCCCTAATTAAAAAAACACTGTCTGAATCTAGGGTAAAGAACTGAAACTGTTGAGAGAATATATTTTAAAACTCACCCAAACAGGCTCAAGATGTTTCCCCAACAGTTAATGAAGAAATGGAACTCAGCACGAAGAACAGAACTATGATTCTTTAGCTAACTTTTATGTGGTTTAGTACAACTTTATTAATTTCACAAACAATGAAGCATATAGTAGGACAGTACATACAGTATACAATACAGTCTGGTGCACATAGGTTATCCCTCCTCCTTCACTCCTTGTTACTTCTCTATTTAATTATGATATATGTAACCAATGACAAAAATAATGGATACTGAAACAGAATTTTGAATCGTTACTGGTATAAACTATTATTTGCCTGTGTTCACTGTGGGGAAATAACAATAATTTTATTATTTATATGCCGCCCTGGGTGGCTTCCAACCTCAAACGTTAAAAACCTCCCTGTACAGGGCTGCCTTCAGATGTCTGAATGCAGAGCATATGTATATGGAGTGCATGTTTGTGTGTCCACAGTAAACAACAAATGTTTCTGCTGAACAAATGTTTTATGTGGTGAGCTTAACCGCTTGACTGAAGCTTCTGTGCTGCATCACGCACAGAATGTACCCAACAAGATGGGAGGGCTGGAGAAGAAGCAAGGTAGGATGAAGCCAAACTTGGGAACATTTGGCTGTTTCTTAGGCCATGAGGTTCTGTTCTTCTCCCTCCAAGGCAGCGAGTTCCTCCAGAAGTTTCTCTTTCTCCTGCTGCAGTTCCTGCACCCTCTCTTTGTTTTTCTTCAAGCGATCCTCCAGCCACTGCATAAGAGGACCACTGATGACAGACATCTGGCTGCAGAGCTTCTTAGTGAACACTGGCGAGGAAAGAAGTAATGCAGTAAATAGTGAGATACAACCATCTCCCTCTGCAGAGTGTCAGTGTACCAGTAATGATGATGATGATGATGATGATGATAATGATAATAATAATAGGGTGGCGCTGTGGGTAAAAGCCTCAGCGCCTAGGGCTTGCCGATCAAAAGGTCGGCGGTTCGAATCCCCGCGGCGGGGTGCGCTCCCGCTGCTCGGCCCCAGCGCCTGCCAACCTAGCAGTTCGAAAGCACCCCCGGGTGCAAGTAGATAAATAGGGACCGCTTACCAGCGGGAAGGTAAACGGCGTTCCGTGTGCTGCGCTGGCTCGCCAGATGCAGCTTTGTCACACTGGCCACGTGACCCGGAAGTGTCTCCGGACAGCGCTGGCCCCCGGCCTCTTGAGTGAGATGGGCGCACAACCCCAGAGTCTGTCAAGACTGGCCCGTACGGGCAGGGGTACCTTTACCTTTACCTTTATTATTTATACCCCGCCCATCTGGCTGGGTTTCCCCAGCCACTCTGGGCAGCTTCCAACCAAATATTAAAAACAATACAGCATCAAACATTAAAAACTTCCCTAAACAGGGCAGCCTTCAGTTGTCTTTTAAAAGTAAAATAGTTGAATAATAAAAATTATTATTTCCTTGGCACTCAATTCACTCCAAGGCCGACTTAAGAGCCTGATCCTATACGGTATTATAAATTATATAAGCCCTTCAAAATTTAACAGTTTAAAGATACCTAACTGTGAAGGCAAGACAGGCACCAATAGCTCACAGAGCAATGATAAACCCATCAAAAGAAAGAAGCAAGACCACTGACAAGTTTGCATTAAGGTACTCAGGCTAGCATGCTGGCAAAACAAAAGGCTTGCCTCCCTGTCCTCTATGGCAAACAAGATATCATACCTGCTATCTTGAGTAAGTAGTTACACCAAATCTTGGCGTATCAACAATACAGACCAAATCCGAGGCATGGAAGGGTGTTAATGATACTGGGATAATAAGGATAATGCACTCCCTCAGCAAACTGCTCACATCTAAACAGAGGAGGCTTCCCTACACTTTTCAAACTGTTGGTGTGGAGCAACTATTGTTTAATGCCAAGCCTCTGACAATCCAGGTCCAAAGTCTGATGACTGCAAATGTTTCAAGTACCAAAATGTGTGACATCAGTACTTTTGATCTGGAAATCCTTACCTGCACCATTATGGATCTTGGTTATGGGATCCAGATGGGTAAGGCTAAATGGAGGAAGAGAGCACACTGGTGTCAAGTCAGCACTCCCACAAAACACAAAAGTCACAGTATGTTTTCTATCAGGCTTCACAAAACAACATCCTCCAAAAAAAAATAAAGACTACAATCCAGGTAGTTCTTCCTTCCTGGTCACTTCATGTCAATGTCCACTTCCTGGACCACAGTAGGTTACTTGGCTACTGGCAAGGGTCACCACATGGTCCACATGGGATTCTGAAATGCACCCTGCTGGATCAGACCCTCTTGTCCCAGTGGCTTGATTCCCACAGTAGTCAAGCAGATGCTTCTGCAAAACCAACATTTTCATTATTTACTTAATTCAAACCCTCTTTCTTCTAGCCCAGCAGACTGCCAGGCAAGGGTCAAATTACTTCTGCAAATGATGATGATAATGATGATGATTAATTGAATTTATATACCACCCTATACCCAGAGGTCCCAGAGCAGTTCACAGAACAAAATCAAAATATAAAACCACAAAATATATAATCAAAATAAGAACAGCAACCCAATAACCCCCCTTCCAAAAAAACCCACATTTTAAAAGGGAATAGGATGTCAATCAAATCAACCAAAAGCCTTGCTAAAAAGGAACATTTTTGCCTGGCGCCTAAAGATGTATAATGAAGGTGCCAGGTGAACTTCCCTAGGGAGAGCATTCCACAGACAGGGAGCCACCGCAGAGAAGGCCTGTTCTTGTGTTGCCACCCTCCGGACTTCTCAAGGAGGAGGCACACAAAGAAGGGCCTCAGAAAATCATCTCAGGGTCCAGGTAGAGAAGGCATCCCCAAACTCAGCCCTCCAGCTGTTTTGGGACTACAATTCCCATCATCCTTGACCACTGGTCCTGTTAGCTAGGGATGAAGAGAGTTGTAGTCCCAAAACAGCTGAAGGGCCAAGTTTGGGGATGCCTGAGGTAGAGGCAGTCCTTAAGGTATTGTGGTGCTGAGCCATTTAAGGCTTTATAGGTCAAAACCAGCACTTTGAATTGGACCCAGAAGCTAATTGGTAGCCAGTGCAGTCGGACCAGGATCGGTGTAATGCGCTCAAACCATCTTGCTCCGGTGAACAACCTGGCTGCTGAATTCTGCACTAACTGAAGTTTTAGAACCGTCTTCAGAGGCAGCCCTACATATAACACATTGCAGTAATCTAACCTTGAGGATACCAGAGCATAGACAACAGTAGTTAGGCTATCCCTGTCCAGATAGGGACGTAGCTGTTCCACCACCTGAAGCTGAAGCTGATGGAAGGCACTCTTGGTCACTGAGGCCACCTGAGCCACAAGCAACAGCAAAAGATCTAGGAGTACCCCCAAGCTACGAACCTGCTCCTTGAGAGGAAGTGTAACCCCATCAAGAGCAGACAATCTCCCACACTGAAGGTTCGATGGGGCTGAAAAGCATTCCCCAAGCAACACCATCTGGGAATGACCATCCAAGTAGGAGTGGAACCACCGTAAAGCGGTGTCACCCACCCCTAGTATGGAGAGTCACTCCAGAAGTATACCATGCTTGATGGTATCGAAAGCCGCAGAGAGGTCTTGCCCCCTTTCTCCCACCATCTGTGTCAGCTTTTGGACGCCTTTGGGTCCCCCCTCAATGAAATTAGGCCAAGAGCTGCATAGAACCCTTAGGCTGTAAGCTGCCTACCTCTGCCATACAGTGGTACCTCTGTTTACAAACGCTTCTGGTTAGGTTCCGCTAACCTGGAAGTAACTGCTCCTGGTTGCGAACTCTGCCCCAGGATGCGAATGGAAATTGCACACCGGAGGCGCGCGCACAGTGGGAGGCCCCATTAGCGAAAGCACGCCTCAGGATAAGAATGGTTTCAGCTTAAGAACGGACCTCCGGAACGAATTAAGTTCGTAACCAGAGGTACCACTGTGCTTGATGGCAAAGGAGAGCAAGTGATAAGGGTATCCAACTAAAGCAAAGAAGGGAGCCTGGCTCTCATTTTACCTGTGGATTTTCCTGTAAGCATCTTGCTCCTCTTGACACAAGATCCTGGGGAGTTCCATCATTGACTCAAGACACGCTTTCCCCATGGTGGTGTGAGGAATTATATGCACAGGAATTTCAATCCTTTCATACCTACAAGGGGAAGAATATTTGTGTTACTGTTCCATTTTTGGAGACTTGACAGCATAATTCTAAGCGTGCTTAGTTGGAAGTCATTTTTATTTATTAATTTTAAGTATTTGTTGGCTGTCTTTTAGGACCAAACCCTCCCAAGGTAGCTCCCACCACACATATTCACAACATAAAATCAATACAAGTTTAAAACCATAAAACAGTATTAAAATGCAACAGAAAAAGAATAAGAACTTATACAACATTCAGCCCAGTAAGAGAAGTAAACGCTAGAAGAGCACAACATACACAGCACATACACACTGTGTTAAGTGGGGCTTACTCTAGAGAAGTGTGCACACTATATCGTCCATAGATGCCAGGTGAAAAACAGGAACTATAAAGATACAAGCAGCTGGGCACAACAACGGAATTTCAAGGCCCACTTTTTTATAACAAGAATACAAAGATGAAAGTGAATGAACTGTAGCTAAAATATTATGTTCATTTTTCACATGGTCTAATCCTTCTTCTGCCCACCCACCTACTATTCTTAAGCGGGTCTCTTCTCCAGTTTTCAGAGAGTAGCTGGAAGTGGGAAGCAGAAAAAGCTCCTCTCCTTCCACTCCGCAGTTTTAATCTGAAATATTAGACACAGTACTATGGCCAGAGCTCAGAAACTGCTCTTGCTAATGAGATCCCGTCGCAAAATGCGCCCAGAACAATGGGAATTTTGAACCCAGAATTGCCTAGAGATGAAGAATTGAGAATTAAAACATAGCAGCACTGCTATACATAAAAAGTAACCACTGAAGCTGAAGTTCAAAGAAAAGTGAGAAAGGCTGAGGCATTGAGGTTGCCAAACCCTCCTACTTAACAGAGTACTTACTCGGAGCTCTTTTGGGCTTGAATGGACTGGAAACAGGTGAACAGAATCCGGCCAGTCTGGAATAATCAGCAGATTTATGTGAGGAAAGAAAGAGAGAAAGAAAGAAAGAAAGAAAGAAAGAAAGAAAGAAAGAAAGAAAGAAAGAGATTATTATACAACCGGATGTTTGATTATCCAAACCCTGAAAGAGCCACACATCTCTATGTAGTGACACTCTATTCAGGTGTCCTACTACTTGGGAAGCTGGGAGGGAAGAAGGAAATAAACACACTGGATGGGATTCAACTAAGATATTCCATGCAGCGGAACTTTCCCCTCTCCCCCACCATGCCCCTGTGCTCCTTAAATCTTTTCTGGGTGATTGGGAGAAACCCCATAACTGGTTTAGCACAATGAGTCAGGTGTGGGGAAGGGAAGTCTTGTTGCTTGAGTGGACATAGTTGTACAGGCATACATCCCATTTCACACTGAGTTTCATTTCACCCACTGCACTCCAGCCAGAGATTAAAGCTCACATTCCATTAAATGATAAACATTCCAATGGCACCTTGAAGACTGATTGCTGCAGAAGGAGCCTGTTTAGGTGATATACTGCCAAATGTGAAGTTCATTGTCCCAATGAATATACCTGGGTTTTGTTTTTGTTTAATAGTAGTTGTGGGTGCACAATTAGAATTACTGTTGCTTTTGAGCAGGGTGGTTAAACCCTCCACGACCCACACATGCAGTTGCAACAAAAACCATGCCCCCTTCCTTGAAGTTGCTGTTTACTATGGGAGATAAGTGACTATTGATTGCAATACCAGTATTGGGGGGGATGTGTTCTTTTATTTCCTTCTCAGGTCATTCTTGGACAACTTTGTGCATGTCGTCTTTGCATTTGTGTTCCCCTATTGTAACACCCACTGCTAAATTCCGCCAACAATTATTGTTCTCTAAACCACAGCACTAGCGATCCACCTAATCCAGATTAAGTGCCTCAGAAACGGAACTTCAGTCTATGCTTAGGTATTCCAAAGAAGACAGTCTGCCTTTCCCCAATGCACCCTCTTAGTATCTTCCCACATTTTATGCCTGTCCATTTTTAATGTGGTTCAGCAACATCTGCAGACCCAAATATGGGGAAAGCCAGGGAGCCTGGATTTGAGAGTGTGCACTCTAAGACACAAAGGACCAAGTAGTTAAGAAAAGTGCTGGGACCCAAATTACCTTCTCCAAGCTCATGCACTTGTTTCACTGAATTTATGTGTGTGTAATCACCGAAAACAAAGTGACAAACCATAACATCAACAAATGAAAGTGAGAGACCTAGTCTACACCTCAACTCTAATTTAATTTTGTGTGTCTCAGGACTACAACCACTCAGCTCACAAACAAGGATGAAATTGAAACCACAGAAGCAATAGGTATCATGTATGAGTTCACTGCTTCAAGTATCTCCAGTCCAGGGATCTTCAACCTTTTCAGACCCAAGAACCACTTTTAACCCAAGCATGAAATTTGGGGACCTATTTCTTAAACTTTAATCATATATTTGCATGGTGGTAATGCTCCTGTTGTGACCTACCTTGGATTAGGCCACAACCCACTTGTGAAAGAATAGTGCATTCTTTTTAGAAAGGAACAGAGAGCAATAATGGCTACGACACAGGAATGGGTGTCATTTATTTACCTTTGTGTTTTTGTCATCATTGAAACAGGAGAAGATAAGCCCCACAAAGTCTTGGTCCATCATCTGATACATCGCTTGTGTGCAGAGGTCTGCAGGCATATAATTGGCAAAACAAATTACAAATTCTACATTTCCTGGCTTAACAGAAGCCACTGGATCATCAGTGTGAAAGATCAAGCCAGACAAGGAAAGATCACAGATGTCCTTTTTTTTCCAGGCGCAGCAGAGAGCATTGGAGAAGAGATTTGTATGACATTTGAAAACGAAAGTTACCATACAATAATGTAAGCCAGGGGTAGGCAACCTAAGACCCATGGGACACAAGCACCCCACGGGGGGCGTTTAACTGGCCCACGAGCCACCTCCAAACCAAGCTGGCCCACTCAGCGAGTCCCCACGCGCTGTGCTAAACTGGCACAGTGCAGCGCGGGGACTCACTTCCGTGGTGCTGGAAATTGCATCTGCACAGACACAGATGCCAGACACAGATGCCAGAAATCGCAGGCGGGCGCACTCACGCACATGCACAATCCAGCCCTCGGAGGGATCTCTGCTGAAGTGAACTGGCCCAACCAAGGTAAACCTTGCCCACCCCTGATGTAAGCCTCTAAAAGCAAGATTACAGTCAAATCTAAGACAGCCCTGGGAGTCCCTTATTTAATCATCTCCTGCTGCATCTTTTGGCTCTATTTATATATTTTGATCTTGGGGCTCTTCCTCTCCCTGTTTTTTTGGGGGGGAGGGATGGCTTTCTCCCCTTTTGCTTAAACTGCACTTTCCCCCTTTTCTCTCCGACCCTCTTCTGTGAATAAAAACCACAGTAGTGCCCCGCAAGACGAACGCCTCGCAGGACAAAAAACTCGCTAGACGAAAGGTTTTTTCGTCCGCGATTTGCCTCGCAAGACGAATTCCCCTATGGGCTTGCTTCGCAAAACGAAGCTTGCCCCGGGGACAGCGGGTCTTCTCTTTTGAAGCAAGGGGCTGCGGGGAGATAGCGATCTCCCTGCAGCCCCTTGCTGCAAAAGACGTCCGGGGGAAGCGGGGAAGCGAAGCGCTTCGCTTCCCCGCTTCCCCCGGACCTCTTCTGAAGCAAGGGGATGGGGGGAGATAGCGATCTCCCTGCAGCCCCTTGCTGCAAAAGACGTCGGGGGAAGCGGGGAAGCGAAGCGCTTCGCTTCCCCGCTTCCCCCTGACGTCTTTTGCAGCTGTTCCGAAGTGGGGCGGGGTCACCTGCCCCAGCCGCCCCACTTCGGAAAGCTGTTCCGAAGCGGGGAGGGGGGCGGGGACATCTGCCCCAGCCGCCCCACTTCGGAAAGCTGTTTCAGGAACAGCTCCATAGGAACCTCCATAGGCGCCCGTCACCTCTCCAGCCAGGAGAGCGCGCGCGGGGCTAAACCAGCCCCCCGCGACCCTCTCCCAGCTGGAGAAGTGACGCGCGCCTATGGCAGGAGCCTCCATAGGCGCCCGTCACCTCTCCAGCCGGGAGAGCGCGCGCGGGGCTAAACCAGCCCCCCGCGACCCTCTCCCAGCTGGAGAAGTGACGCGCGCCTATGGCAGGAGCCTCCATAGGCGCCCGTCACCTCTCCAGCCAGGAGAGCGCACGCGGGGCTAAACCAGCCCCCCGCGACCCTCTCCCAGCTGGAGTTGTGACGCGCGCATATGGCAGGAACCTCCATAGGCGCCCGTCACCTCTCCAGCCGGGAGAGCGCGCGCGGGGCTAAAGAAACCATAGCCCCGCGACCCTCTCCCAGCTGGAGAAGTGACGCGTGACTATGGCAGCAGCCTCTGAAGGATGCACCGAAGCCTGGCGTGGGGGGGGGGGGCGGAGAGACCTTCTCCCCGCGCCAGCCTTCGGATGGCTGTCCTGAAGACTTGGGGTGGGAGAAGGGTTTTCCTTCCCACCGCCAACATTCAGAATGCTGTTCTGAATGTTGGCGGTGGGGAGGAAAAACCCTCCTCCCACGCAAGCCCCGGGAACAGAGGGAAAGCGCTGCGCGCCTTCCCCTCTGTTCCCGTACCTGTGCTGAAGGCTTGCGGTGGGGAGAAAAGCCCTTCTCCGCACCGCCAGCCTGGCAAGCGGTTTCCCTAGGAACGCATTAATTGATTTTCAATGCATTCCTATGGGAAACCGTGCTTCGCAAGACGAAAAATTCGCTAGACGACAAAAATTGCGGAACGAATTAATTTCGTCTTGCGGGGCACCACTGCATTTCTTCTCTTGTCTCAGTCTACCAATCCTCTTAGGGGCTCTCGCTTCGTTATCACTTGGCACACAACAGCAAGCATTAGGTGGCCTTGAGGAGTAAGAGCAGGGAACTTCAAAGGGGAAATGAAACAGTAACTCAAACATAAGAGTCTCCAAGGTGGACAGTAGTAAGTGAGGAATAGAAGGTCACACCTAGCTATTATGGTTTGTAGGCCAAGCTAAAAATGCAACTTTGCTAAAACCTACCTGTTGCCATAGTACTGTGTATGCAGATAGGAGCATGGTTTTATTAACCAATGAAACTGTACACATGTGCCGATCACGCTTCAAGTAGCCAATGGATATTCATAACATCTTGTGTTTCAAGTAAAACTTTGTAGGGAAACCATATAAATATGAGCCTGATGCCTTAGATGGCGAGATTTTTTTATATATATTTTTCGGTGGGGACACACACACCAGTTTTTTCTGCATTTCCTTCTTCCCAAGTCAGGTAAGAAAAGGGCCGTGGTGTGTGCTTTGCAAACAGAAGGTCTCAGGTTCAATCTCCAGCATTAATATGTTGGTCTGGGGAGTCACTGCCAGTCAGTGTGGACAAATATTGAGCTAAGTGATCGGTGTTCTGACTTGGCCTGAGCCGGCTTCCTATGTTTCTATAATGGAGCAAAAGAAGTGCACTCATCCCCAAAAGTCTATTGTAATCAGCAAAGATTCTTTGCCAGGAGCATTCAGCTCATACAGGTCCTGCCTGGTAGGAAAATGAAGGCTCCCCCTGTCACAAGATCTTATCCTTACATTAAATATTCTCTCTCTCTCTCTCTCTCATATACATACGTACAAAATCTTTCAGGTATCTCACCCCCTTAAAAAGTAGCCCACCCCAAGTCAGCATATATTGGATGATGGACACGTCTTACCCAGAAGAAAACTCTTACCTACGTGTGATGGCCAAACTGTTATGTGGGGATGAGAATGATACCAGCCAACAACTCTTGTAGGCTGTCCTGTTAACTTAGCCAATCTGTGTGTTAGTTAAGGTTTCTCCAAAAACTAAAAATAGCTCCCTACTGCAAACCTAGTCATGCATTTAAAAATACACATGTTCTTACATTTGCCAATCTCAAACATGCGCACACACTATTATTATGAAATGCTCTTTCAGAACAGCAAAGGAAAGAAGCAGAGAACTATGGGCAGGACATTTCCCTTCTAGGCCATCACTTGCAAAGTGATTTAAGCCACTTTCCCAAAATCTCATGCCCTTTGAGGACTACCTGCCTTGAAAATACTCAAGTGTTATTACCCCATAATTTCTGTCAAAGGATATCTCTGCTTCTGTTGAAGCAGCTGAGAGCTGCTCTGGGGAAATCTCCACACGATCTTTTCTCTTATCTGACCGGTGCAGAATGATCACGGAGTGAATATGAACTATTCGGCTAGCACCAACCTGTGGGATAAATGAAGAAAAGCATATGAAGCACAACATTTCACATGCTTACTTGGGCATGCATCCCACTGTATTAAATGGAGCTCACTCCAGGTAAATGTGCATGCAATGGCAGCAGCAACACAATAAGATTGTGATTCCAGAATATGCTTACTCTCATTGAAAAACCCTTCTTCATTCTTACATCTCGCACACATGCAAGATCATTTAAGCAGAGATTTATTTCTGAAAACTTGCTTTCAAAACTGAGCAGAGCTGCCTTTACATCCCTCCAAATACCCTTTGCAAAGAACCTGACTGTCCAAAGCCATCCAAGAAAGTGATTTCCTTCCCTGGTACAGATCAAGCCAAGCTAAGCTCTTCCGAGGAGACCTTGCTCCATGATCAGAAGATTTTTAAAATCTGTGTTGGTGACAACACAGAAGCAGGTTTTGTTGGTAATTGCACCCACCACTGGAATGCCCTCCCTTGAGCAATTTTGAGAGACAATAATAAGCTTTAAACACTTCTGAACACCTATGTTTGCTCAAGCTTTCCAAATTCTTTGTTTTGTTCACTACTCAGCTTTATTTGTTAACACTGTTACATTTTTATCTAGTTTTTAGGAAATTTTATTTAATGTTGCTGTATTTCTATTGTTTTTATGAAAGCTTCTTAGAGGTTTTTATTATATTAAGCAGACAAAAGCTTTAATGAAGAAAATATATTGAAGACAGGAGCCCAGACTCACGTAGTTTAAAGTTTAACAGAGAGATACTTTGGCCACTGTATGACTAGACACTATGTGTTTCCATCTAGGAGTGTTGCATCTGACTCGAGATGCCAGGCTGCAGTTACTCAGAGCACACACGCAGAGATGCTACTTTTTATCAATTCACATGCTCTCTGAGAGCCCTGGCATAAAAGAGCAACACTGCTGCATGTCCCTGTTGAAACTTGCTGCATGAGACATGCAATTGCAATCTAGGAGAGCAACCATAACAACGAATGCAGCCAGTGGTCAATCCTGGAGCCCCTTCCCCCAACAATGGAGCAGAAGAAAGAAAAGACTTTAAGGATGCAACTCTTTGCAGAGGTACTTGAGGAAAATGTTCAGTGTTGCCCAGTACTACCTAATTATCGGTACAAACAAATAGTAAGTGGGTCAAGCTATGAAAATATTTCTAAAGTCATACTGTCATTTCCTCCTAGTGCTGCATTATTTAGTTGGTCAGACTCAATAGCTTACATCATTCCTGATGATCGGCCATGCTGGGTGAGATGATGGGAATTGGGAGAACAATACTTGTTAGGCCCCAGGTTCCCCACCCCGGGTTAAAATATTCTGAATGACTAAAAGTTATACAAAGTAATCAAGAGGCTTTTTAAAAGCACCGCTTTTAGAAATGTACAGTACTTGAAAAACCTGCAGAGAGCAAGCCTCAGTTCAAGAGAGAAATCCCTTTCCTGCGGGTGAGAGAAATGGGGAAAGAGTGCACCTTTTCTAACATGAAACTTGCTTCAGAACATGCACATGTCATCTTAAAATAAAGATGCTTTTATTCTTTAGAACTCTGGGCCATATTTAATCCTGATTCATGAGGCAACATATTTATAAAATTATTTCTTAACACAAATTCTATTAAAACTGGCAGGTGGCATGATCCATCTTAAAAGGCAATTCATCCTTCTCCCACACAGAGGATGTGTGCTTTTTAAAATTATGCCTGCTATAACATACAGAAATATAATCTGAAAACAAAAAAGGCATGCTTTCCTCATAAATATGGTTACAACCCATTGTTTCTCTCTTCACATGTCAGTCTTTCTTGCTCCAACAGTCTTTTGGGAACAGACTGCTTTTTAGGAAAGGTCCGTTGCTGTGCTGCTTTTATTGTAATTATTTATTTCAAAAAAACCATACACTGCTTGATTATGAAAAACAAAAAACACCTCAAAGTGGCTTACAAAAAGAAAAAACAATAAAATTGGGTGTGTGGGTGTGTGTGTGTCCCACAACCATACTTTAAAACATACATAATTATAATACTAACACAGATTAAAATTACCTCAGCTTTCTAAGAATCTGGGTAGGTGTGTCTAAGTAACAATGCTTTATGAGGTGTGGAAAAGAGTACAGCAATGGTGCCTGCTTAATCTCAATAAGCAAGGAGTTCCAAAGTGCAGGAGCTGCCACAGTACAGGGTTGTGATTTTACAAATGTGGAAGGGGTGTTTCATAGCACCTGCAGGAGTGTTATCTGTATGTTTTAATGTAGATAAATTGATCTTAATTCTATTGCTTCATTATTATTATTTTTAAAGACTCCCCTATGTTTTCAGCACTTCTAATTTTTTTCTGCGAGCTGCCCTGATAGAGATAAATATTGTGATCAATCTACACTGTGGAAGTCAGTGGGGGAGTCGGCCCACTGACAGGTGAGGGTTACGGCTGCGGCCTGTAACGGATCCGCCCAGAAGGTAAGCGCCCTGCACCCAGCGGGACTTCCAAGCCACCCCCGGCTCCCCCGGTCCCTCCCCCGCAGTATTCCCCGGCAGCAGCAGACCCCGCTCCTCACCTCGCCAATGCAGAGGCCCATGACCTCCTCTTGCTCAGTGCTCAGCGCGTGGACCATGCAGACGAGGAAGGCGTCGGCCTCCAGGTGCGCCGCCTGCAACGCCATCGCCGGCTGCTTCGCTCTTCTTCGCCGCTCCTTGTCTCCCCTCTTAAAGGGGAGGCCGGGGATCACTCAGCCGGTAGCAGCACATGAGATTATTTTTGTTTCTCACGGCTGTGGGTCCAAGCCCAACGTTAAGCGTTGCAGTGGGGTCGGACTAGATGGCCCTCAGGGTCCCTTCCAACCTTACGAGTCTAGGGCGAAAGCGGTCCTGCGGTCCTGAGCATCCCTTCCGCCTAGGCCTCTTCTGAGAGGGAGATGGTGTTTCCTGGACAACGCCGACTTCCTGTCCGTCCGCAGAAGTGTCCGGCTAGCCCCGCGCAAGGAGCGTTCTTTGGTTCCGCTGGCGTCGCTGGCCCAGGTCGGTTCCGCCCGAAGGGGGGCGTCGGCATCGGGCAGAGCTGCGCGCCTGCGGGGCTGAGGGGCTGAAGCGGGAGGGAGAGGGAGACCCGCCGAGTGCAGGGCGGAGAAGCTCCACTTTGGCGGCCAGGTAGCGCCCGGCTACTCCTCGAGCGGGACGAGGCATGCCTCGCCAGGGAGGCGGTGTGGGGTGCTAGATCTTTCTGCGTGCAAATCAGGGCAGTTTCCTCACCGCTAGAGTGAGGGAACTGTTGCCATGGAGACTCCCCCGGGATAGTGGGGGGTGGGTGGAATAGAGAAGGAGGAGGGGGAGAAACTTTGGGTGAGCTGGGATTAGGGAAGTGGCCAAGCTCCCTTTGCTGGCAGAAATTCAACAGGCGTAGCTCCTCCGCTGCACTAGGTAAAGCTGGACCTGTAGAGCTTCTGCCTGTCTCGTACTGATGATGCTCAGAGCTTCTTTCAATGGGGGAGGGGGGAGAAGAAGGTGATGAACGTAGGAAGGAGCTGACTGGCAACCTAGAGGGTGTAGATGAATATGTTCTCTTTTCAGCTGCTACTCCTGCTAGATCAACCAGGCTACTTTCCTGTGGTGTGTGTGGGGGGGGGGGGGCAAGCGAAATCTCAAGAGGTGTAGCTTCTAGGATAGTGCTGCAGCGACGAGCCAAGATTTGCCTGTTGGATTTCTGTCTGCTAAGGTGTAAGAGCTCTGCCGGTGGAAATCCAAGTGGGATATTCCAAACGGGCCCTTTCCCCAGAAGACCTCACTCTTGACATTGCATTGGGAATATGTCATTGATTTCTGTTGTTACTTACGCATCTGGCCTGAGTCCAGGAAGCTTAACTTCAACAAAGATACACAACTCCTTCTTCCTGGTCTTATACTGCTTAGAAAGAGGCTTTTCTAGGTGGAGTTCTTTGGGCCAGAAACTGCCTACTGTCTCTGTTACATTGATACTCCTCAAAATCAGGAGCAGGGAGGGGAAGAAGTTTCTTAATTTTGCACATTTAAGTTGACCATGATTTTAGCAACTTGTAGGAAGGAGTAGTGAAAGGCAAGGCTTTCGTTCTTCATGTTGTACCTTTCATTAAGCAGTTGTTTTGATATGATTTGCAATAATCAACTGCTTTGTGGAAACTACAGTCTCCTTTGATTGCTGATTTTCTGTGTAGTTCAGGTTTATTACCACCCTTCTGCCATCACCAATTGCATTCCTGTTTGTCTTGTAAAAGGTAGTTTCATCTATGTCTATTTTGCAGTAGCTGTACAAGGCCACACCTCTTTGCATTCTGGTAACCTGATAAGCAGTTGGCTGGAGGGTGATGAAGGAGAAATTCTGTTGTGAAAAGCTCAGCTTTGGAACAGAGGCTTAAAAGACAAGGCATCATCACAGATCAGGTAGTCACTTCCTGACCCAGAGAGGTTGCTGTTGTTTTATCTTCTAGTCAGTAATGTCTCCTGCTGATCTTTTATTTACTTTTATTTACTTTTATTTTGTTTCCTCTGACAAGCAGGATTAAAATGCTGGGGAAATTAGTGGCTGTTTCCAGTTCTGGGGGTGGCTGCCTGTCTTTGTAACAGATATTATGATTGCTTGTAGGAGTGAAAGAGCACCGTGAGGATCACAATAGGGCTTGCGTACTCTGGTGGCACAGTTACAACATTGGTCACCCTCTCACAACACCTTTGCTGTGCACAAACAGACTTTTAAGCCGCATTCTCTTCATATGAAAATTGTTCACTTTTAGGGGCTGATGATATTAATAGAACTTGCGGGGGAATGCTGCAACAAGGCACGCTGAGCCCTGGGATTCTATCTACATCGAAAGAAAACTTATTTGGAAGACCCCCCCAGGTGTAGGGGGAGGGGAAAACCCACCAGTCTTGGCCATGGTCTCCTCTCTGAGTCAAAGTGGAACATAGTCCCATGACGAAATAAGAGTACTTTGTTCTGCTAGGAAAGTTTGCTGCAGAAACGAAAGCTTGGGCACTTATATCACTAAAGAAAACTGTGGGCTTTTGAGTAAGTGGGTCCCAGCTGGCTCTGATAGTATCTTGATCCCATGTCAACTTTTTCGAGGGGCGGGCTACCGCCAATACAGTTTGCGTGCAACAAGGGTTTGCGCTGACTCTTAGTCTGTGTGTGCTTTGAGCCCCCTACAGTACATAGTATGCTTAGCAGTTTGATTCCAAGGATACCTGTGGAGTGCTGGAGGAATTATACTGGCTGTGTCATTTGGGGGGTGGGGGGAAGCCTCCTGCCTCGATCCTCTTCATGCATCTTTTGCAATGATGTGGCTGTGGATACAAATTTATCAAGGGCTGGTGCCAAAGTAGTTAACCACATCACCACAACCTCCGTTTATACTCCCAGAATGTTAGCATGTGAACCTGACTTTGTTCTCCTTTCAGCTTAGAGCAGACGTAGCCAGCATGGGGTCCCCCAGATGCTAATTGGACTACTGCTTCCATCATCCCTGACCACTGGCCATGCTGGCTGGAGCTGACAGGAAGTTGGAGTCCAACAATGTATAAAAACATCCTGCTGGATCTGGCTGATGACTAGTAGCCGTGGATAGCTTTATCCCTCCATGAATTTGTCTAATCCTCTTTTAAAGTCACCCATGTTGGTGGCCATCATTGCATCTGGAGAGCGACGCTATGTTGGTTACCCCTGGCTTAAGACATCATTGTAGTTAGGGGCTTAATTCGCTGGAAAGGAAGTGCTCCTGCTGTGCTTCAGAAAAACTACGTGCTTTTGTCTTCTTAATCTGCTGTCTTTCCTTTCACACCGTCTCTTGCCGCACTTCCCACACTATTGAGGAGTGATTCCGCACACACATATTGTGAGTTGTGATAAGCACCTGTGCATTCTCCAGCCTTCACAGTGTCCATCATGACCAAAATGTGAAACTAACCAAATTCTATCTTCTGGGTGCTATTCTAATTTTTCTTCCTCTCCCACTCTATCAGTGTCACCCTTTTTATACAAAGCTTTGCCCCAGTACAAGGGTTTTAACTTGTCTTACCGTGGGTTCTGTGGTGAGTTGCCAAGTAGAATAGACTTTCCCTGCTGAAATAATGTTCATCTTCCTATGCCAGTGACCACTGCTTGACAACTCAATTGAAATAGGGAAAGGGGAACTTCTAGTACTCAGGGTTGGTGGGACTCAGCCAATTTGCTCCTCACAATTTCCATAGTTTTGCACTTCTAGCTTCTCCAGTATTTGCAGTATTTTGAGAAAGAGCAAAGGAGAGAACTGGCAGCGGTTGTACTTCCTCTTAACTTCCAGGTTTTGTGGAGGAAACTGACCAAGTTTGGATTTTGTGGGGGGAGGTCACCCCCCTTTCCTAGAAGATGCTACAGATTTGAATGGAGAATTGAGTGAAAGAAGAAAACAGAGGAACCAAAATGGGGGGAAAGACTGGAAAGCAAATGGATAGATACAGATTTGTATCAGTGGGCTAAGTCATCTGCAAACCACATTCCGTCCACAGGCCACTAGTTGCTGAAAGCTGTGCAGCATGCATCCTCAGTACTCTATGGCCAACTTGGATGACAGCAGGTCCCATTAAACAGCTCCAATTTCATGATTCTGTAGCACATTTCATCCAGAAAGATTGCTGTGAGTCTTTCAAGCGGGCTGTATTTTTCCTAAAGAATTTCCTGAGGCCCCAGGGTCATGCAGCACCTGGTTTGCATGCAAAAGGTCCCAGGTCCTTGGAATTTCCAGATAGGATTCGGAAAATCCTGTAACCATGGGGAGCCACTGGCATTTTGTGTTGCCTGGGTCTGATGACTATCATAGTCCAAAACATCTTGGGGGGGGCTCCATTTTGGCAAAGGTGGGTGCATTCAGGATTTGATCCAGATAGACCAATGGTCTGACTTCAGATAGACCAACAAGACAGCTTCCTATTTTACTGTGGCAGCTGTACATTTCCAGCGTTCCCCACCCTTCTATTAAAAGAATAATAACAATAATAGATGCTTCTCACAGTTCAGGAAAGTTGCATTCCACCTGGCTGCCATGCCCAGTGCTAGTTCTTTTCAAGGCTAACAATTCATCCCATGTCTTTGTTCAGAGACAAAGGGGACCATGTGTAGAATGGGAGCCAAGGGAGGGCATTCCTAGGAAGAGAAACGGGGCATGGCAGAAGGAGAGGAAGGTGGTGATCCCCGGGCCCCACCAGTCCGCCTCTGGGTGCGACGCATAGGCGTCTACTGTGATGAGAACCAGAAAACATGGCTGGTGGCATCAGAAGAGGTAAGCAGGAATACTCGCAGCACCCTTTTGCTTTGGTGTTTTGGTTTTAGCCTTTTAGCAACACCTCATGTTCTCTCCCCACCCCCACCCCCATTGTTGTTTTTGGTTGCTTCTCCACCCAGGAGGCAGATACAGTGAAAGCCCGGATCAGGAGAGTCCGGGTCCCCCTGGGCCAGGCGGTGTGCCCCAGCCATCTCCCTGCATCCCAGCTGCCCCACATGTGGCAGCTTTCAGAGGGACAGCAGTACCGGGACAGTAACTCTCGCATCTGGAACATCGAACACCATTTAATGGTAAGGTTCCAGGCAGGAAAAAAAGATACAAGCTGCTTAGCTGTGACTCCAGCACTGATGACCCAGCATCTTACTGGGATGCAACGAATGTTTTATTTTGTCTCTTGTAGATCATGGGAGTGGAAGAGCTGCTGCTGAAACTCCTCCCAAGTGATTAAATCTGGTGAGCTCTGCTGTTTTCCCACTCTCAGTCTCCCCCGCCCCCTTCCTCCTTTCTCTTTACTTTTTGCACTCATGGCGGTTCTTTTAATGCTGGTTTTTGTCTTTCAGGAGCTGTGTGACTCTAGGATGGTCTCCCTGTTTTGTTTTTTATGTGGTAACTCACAGCA